ATATGCTGCTCTTGGGAGTTTAAACTGGTACAAGCACTTTGGAAAATAAAGTTGAAGATTTGCATGCTCTATGACACAAACATTCCACGCTAGAGAAACATGTACACATGGTCAGTATAGTGCACAAGATTGCTCATAACCACAGCACTGTTCAAAACAGTCCCAATCCACAAACTCCCAAATGACCAATAATATTAGAGTGGATAGATACATTGTGATATATTCATAAAATGGAATATGTACAACAATAAAAATGATTACTCTTACTAAAATAACGTTGAACAAAAGAAAGAAGAGACAAAGATATTCAAGAACGCTCTATTCAAAGTTCAGAAACAGGGAAAACTAAACTGTACAGATCAGAGAGGCAAACGAAGATGACACAATTATAAGGAAAAGCAAAGGAATGACTACCACAAAACTCAGGACAAGGGAGTCAGGTGTGATTGGGTAGACTTCTGGGTACAGGCACATTCTGTATCTTGACCTGAGCCATGATTATATGGGTAATGTGTTTACCCATATTATAATGTAGCTCTGTTATTATGAACTTCTTGGTATATTGTGCTAATAATTTTAAAAATAATTTTTAAAAAGGTTTAAAAATTATTGGTTGCGGAAACATGCAAGGGCTAGAGTTACATTAGGATCTGTTGTTGTACAGATGCCTCCTAAAGCCATGTAAGTGAGACCCTTCATTTGAATACAGCTTTTAAAAAGCCAAAAACTTGGGATTCTCAGAGGAATACAAACATTCAGAAATGATAAGACTAAAACAATAAACAAGAAAGAAGAGAGGCAAAAGTGAGTGGTGCTGGGAAAGCTATGGGAGGAGAGAACATAAAGAGGATGACTGGCCAACAATGACAAATGAGATAAACTCAAGCATGATAAAGACCGAAAAAATACCAATGAATTTAGCAATTAGGATTCCAGTGATTATTTAATCAGGAGCCACTTGATGCCAACATATTCCTGATAGTAAAAATTTCATGCATTTTCTATTTTCAGAAACAATATTAACATGTTATATTTCACTTTAAACAAAACATGCAGCAGATCAGGCTCTTCACTTTAATAAGTATTTCAGAATAAATAAAAACAATAATATAAATCTTGCTGTTTGTGACTAACATGTAAAGAAATGTAGCAAAATTTCATAATTTTCTTGATGTTAGAAAACTACAGGCTTAAACTAGAATTGCATATGATAGCATGATTTAAATTGCTGATTACAAATATGTCATGCAGTCAATTCATGTCTGAAGTTTTTCTGAATATGTGCTACCTTACAGGGAATATTACCAACAGAACATAAAGGCTATTTTTTTATAAACATATACAAATCATATGTGTTATGATTACTTTCAACCCAGATCAAAAGATGAGGCTATAATATATATGTCTTAGAAATTAACCAGATTTTAAATTGAAATTTAATTCAAAGGATATTTCAAGTGGGAAGAAAATTCTAGATGTTGCAGCAAAAACTGTATTATGGCTTGGAATAGAATATAACACATTTTGAAAGAAATAAGATTTTCAACATAATATTTTTCCCATATTAATAAGAAATAGGACATAGAATGACAAAATGTTTAGTTTTGAATCTTCTTTTGAAAATTGCTTTGGCAATGTACAAATATGGTAAACTATCACTCAAACATGGACTTAGAGCAGAGGCAACAAAAGAAAAATAGGTTAAGTTGTACTTCAACAAAAATATAAACTTTTGTGCATCAAAAAACAGCAAAAACTGTTTGCCAACTATCAATCTGATAAGGGATTGACATCAAGAATATATAAGGAACTTTCACAACTCAACAACCTGATTTAAAAAATGAGCAAACATGGATCGGAAGAATAAACACTGTTAAAATGTCAATGCTACCCAGAGCAATCTATACCTTCAATGCCATCCCGATCAAAATTCCAATGACATTTTTCAAAGTGCTGAAACAAACAACCCTAAAATTTGTATGGAATCAGAAAAGACCCTGAATCACACCAAGGGAACGTTGAAAAAGAAAAACAAAGCTGGGGGCATCACGTTGCCTGATTTCAAGCTGTATTACAAAGCAGTGATCACCAGCACAGCATGGTACTGGCACAAAAACAGACATATAGACCAATGGAACAGAATAGAGAACCCAGATATGGACCCTCAACTCTATGGTCAAATAATCTTCGACAAAGCAGGAAAAAATATGCAATGGAAAAAAGACAGTCTCTTCAATAAATGGTGCTGGGAAAATTGGACAGCTATATACAGAAGAATGAAACTCGACCATTCTCTAACACCATACACAAAGATAAACTCAAAACAGATGAAAGACCTCAATATGAGACAGGAATCCATCAAAATCCTAGAGGAGAACATAGGCAGTAACCTCTTTGACATCGGCCACAGCAACTTCTTTCAAGATTCATCTCCAAAGGCTAGTGAAACAAAAGCAAAAATGAACTTTTGGGACTTCATCAAGATAAAAAGCTTCTGCACAGCAAAGGAAACAGTCAACAAAACAAAGAGGCAACACACAGAATGGGAGAAGATTTTTGCAAATGACACTACAGATAAAGGGCTGGTATCCAAGATCTATAAAGAACTTCTCAAACTCAACACCCCAAAAAACAAATAATCAAGTCAAAAAATGGGCAGAAGACATGAACAGACACTTCTTCAAAGAAGACATACAAATGGCTAACAGACACATGAAAAAACATTCATCATCATTAGCCATGAGGGAAATTCAAATCAAAACCACACTGAGATACCTCCTTACACCAGTTAGAATGGCAAAAATTGACAAGGCAAGAAACAACAAATGTTGGAGAGGTTGTGGAGAAAGAGGAACCCTCTTACACTGTTGATGGGGATGCAAGTTGGTACAGCCACTTTGGAAAACCGTGCGGAGGTGCCCCCCAAAATTAAAAATAGAGCTACCCTATGACCCAGCAATTGCACTCCTGGGTATTTACCCCAAAGACACAGATGTAGTGAAAAGAAGGGCCATATGCACCCCAATGTTCATAGCAGCAATGTCCGCAATAGCCAAACTGTGGAAAGAGCCGAGATGCCCTTCAACAGACGAATGGATAAAGAAGATGTGGTCCATATATACAATGGACTATTACTCAGCCATCAGAAAGGATGAATACCCAACTTTCACATCAACATGGATGGGACTGGAGGAGATTATGCTAAGTGAAATAAGTCAAGCAGAGAAAGTCAATTATCATATGGTTTCACTTATTTGTGGAACATAAGGAATAGCATGGAGGACATTAGGAGAAGGAAGGGCAAAATGAAGGGGGGGGGAATCGGAGGGAGAGATGAACCAGGAGAGACTATGGACTCTGAGAAACAAACTGAGGGTTCTAGAGGGGAGGGGGTTGGGGGGATGGGTTAGCCGGGTGATGGGTATTAAGAAGGGCACGTACTGCATGGAGCACTGGGTGTTATACGAAGAAAACAATGAACCGTGTATCACTACATCAAAAACTAATGATGTATGGTGACTAACATAATAAAATAAAATTAAGAAAAAATTAAAAAATTTAAAAAAAATGAGCAAAGGACTCATATAGATATTTCTATAAAGAAGGTATACAAATAGCAAATAAGCAAATGAAAAGATGGTCAACATCACTAATCATTAGGGAAATGCGAATCAAAACCACAATGAGCTACTACTTTACACTGATTAGGATGGCTACTATAAAAAAACAAACAATAACAACAAAAAACCCAGAAAATTAACAAGTGTTGGAGAGGACGTGGACAGAAATAAGAGCCCTTGTGCAATGGCTAGCAAAAATGTAAAATGGTGCAGCTGCTATGGAAAATAGAACAGCAATTCCTCAAATAATTAAACACAGAATTACTATATGATCTATCAATGCCACTTCTGGGTAAATCCCAAAGAAATGAAAGCAGGGATTCAAAGAGATTTGTACAACTATGTTCACGGCAGCATTATTCACAATAGCCAAAAGGTGGAAGCAACCCAAGTGTTTACCAATGGATAAATAAACAAAATGTGGTATACACATACAATGGAATATTACTCAGTCTTAAAAAGGAAGGAAATTTTTTCACACATTACAACATGGATAAACCTTAATGACATTATGCTAAGTGAAAAGAGCCAGTCATAAAAAGACAAATACTGGGGCATCTGCGTGGCTCAGTTAAAGTGGCCAACACTTGATTTCGGCTCAGGTCATGATCTCGGGGTCCTGGGACTGAGCCCTGCAGTGGGTAGGTGGGTTAGTCTGTGGTTCAGTCTGTCAGGCTCCCTGCTCAGTGGGGAGTCTGCTTTCCCTCTTTTTCTCTCTCTCTTTCCCTCTGCCCCTCCCCCCACTTGTGCACTCTCTTTCTCTAGAATGAATAAATAAATCTTAAAAAAAAAAAAAAAAGAGATGCCTGGGTGGCTCAGTCAGTTAAATGTCTGCCTTCGGCTCAGGTCATGATCCCAGGGTCTTGGGATGGAGTCCTGCATCGGGCTCCTTGCTCAGCGGGGAGTCTGCTTCTCCTTCTGCTTGCCACTCTCCCTGCTTGTGTGCACGCTCTCTCTCTAGCTGACAAATAATTAAATAAAATCTTAAAAAAAAAGACAAATACTATATCATTTTACTTATATGAGGTACCTAGAGTAGTCTAATTCAGAGATAAAAAGTGGAATGGTGGTTTCCAGGGGCTTGGGGAAGATGGGCATGAGGAGATGTTCAATAAGCAGACTTTCAGTTTTGCAAGATGAAAAGAGTTTTGGAGACTGGTTGTACAACAATGTGAATGCACTTAATGTCACAGAACTGTACACTTTAAAATGGTCAATTTTGTATGTATTTTACCACCAAAAAAAGGGCTTGGAAATGAATATGTGTTGAAAATAGAAGCACGGTCAATAGGACGAAGATATAAATCAGTCCTTGGGTGCAGAAGGAAAGAGAAACTATAGCATTATTTTCATGTGTACTTTATTATTTTCGTATGGTACCTGGATTTCCAGCTCAGCAATGTGCTGCTGTAATTCAGCCACAGCAGCTATGCTATCGGCTTCCCGGAGTCTCACAGCCATCACTTCTTCCTTGTTCTAGGGCGGCAAATAAAACAAACCAAAAAGAAACCATGTAATATATCAAAAATAGAACCTGCTTCAAATTTTGAAAACAAATAGATCTATGATGAAAGGAGAGAAAAAAGTGCCAGTATTTCCTGAACTTGATATAAAATGAAGACCGAATATACAGAACATATATAGACCGAGTATACAGAATAGCATTCCATCTTTAAGCATTAAGAGACACCACTCATATAAATAAATGTTGCATAAGAAGTTAAAATTAAAATGCACTTAACTAAAACAATTCAAATCACTGGTGACCGTGAAAGCTGCTCATTTTTTATGCAAGAACAAATATTGAGAACTTTCAAACAACAGATTAACAGACAATATGGATACTAAGAGAGTTTATTAGCTAGATAATATTTGAAAAATTATATTCTTTCTGAAGCAATAAATGTTAATGAATATTTATATTATACTACAAAAGAGAATAGAAATTAGATTATATCATAATTCTAACCTTCCTAGGAAAAGCATAGTACTTAATTCTACCACCTCAAAATTTCACAAAGAAAAACCCCAAAACTGTATTCTACAGTATCCTTGCCAATTAATACTGAACCAGAAATAACAAAATATGAAGAAAATATGTTAGAGAAAAGTAGGGTATGTAAAAATATTTTTCTCCTCCATTAACTTCAGTTGAAATTTAGCAATCATTTGTATCAAAATTGTACAGCATGGTGACCTTAGGAGAAATTTAGCACCTGACAGTACTATAATACCAAAATTTCTAAAAATAACGAATTTAGTAGGAGTTTAATAATTAAACTTCCAAATAAAAAACTGTACTTATTCTTGTATCTCAGATATGATATTGCTGCTTCACTTTAAGCAAATACTGCTTTAAATATTTTGCCAATTTGCATATGGCCACATGTGTACCCAGTGCTGTGCTAGTAAATGTCTAATAATCAGGGGCACCTGGGTGGCTCAGTGGTTAAGCATCTGCCTTCAGCGCAAGTCATGATCCCAGGGTCCTGCGACTAAGCCCCATGTCAGACTCCCTGCTTAGTGGGGAGCCTGCTGCTCCCCCTGCTTGTGCCTCACCCCCATCAAGTAAATAAATAAAATCTTAAAAAAAAAAAGTCTAGCAATCAGCTTTCTCCTAGGGGGGGTGTGTGTGTGTGTGTGTGAGAGTTCGTGTGTGTGTACACATATGTGTTCATGCATAAGTTTATTATATTTTTTAACATAAACCGATATAGAGGATATACAGAACACAACATATAGATAATAAGATATATAATACTCATTGCCCATTCTGTGTAGTCGCTATATTCTCACAGAATGCTTTCACTGATTTTTTTCTAAACTACTGTATCCATAAGCCATGGTTGAAACTGGGGAAAAAGTGAAGTTTTGATATAAATGTTGATTGAATATTTTTGTTAAAAGATGAAAGTGAAACAAAGACAACTTATGTTAGAATTTCACTCATTTGTTAATAATGTGAGCAAGTTTTTTGTTGATTCTGGTAATAGTAATTAAATACTGAAAGAAAATTTCCTTAAAAATTTTGTGCTATTCATAATGTATAGGCTGAAGATACAACACACTTTTAAAGTTTAATCTGCATTAAAAATCAAGCACAGGTAAAAATCAAGCTTTTCCTTAAAAGGCCAGAGAGTAAATATTTTAGCCTTGTGGGCCATACAATGTATCGTAAGTATTCTACCTGCCACCACTGCAGTGTGAAAGTGGCCACGGACAATACATAAACAAACAGGCAAGGCTATATTCCAATAAAACTTTACTTCCACCACTCCAGCAACCCTCAGTTTGTTTCCTGAGATTAAGAATTCCTCATATCAGTGAGATCATATGATACATGTCTTTCTCTGATTTGTAAGACTGTTGAATCACAGACCTGTACCTACCTCTGAAACAAATAATACATTATATGTTTAAAAAAAAGAAGATACTAGGAAGGGTAAAATGAAGGGGGGAAATTGGAGGGGGAGACGAACCATGAGAGACTACGGACTCTGAGAAACAAACTGAGGGTTCTAGAAGGGAGGGGGGTGGGGGGTTGGGCTAGCCTGGTGATGGGTATTAAAGAGGGCACGTATCGAATGGAGCACTGGGTGTTATACGCAAACAATCATGGAACACTACATCAAAAACTAAAGATGTAATGTATGGTGATTAACACAATAAAATTTTTTTAAAAATGAAAAAAAAAAACAACTTTACTTCCAAAAATAGGCAACCAGACAGATTTGGGCTATAGGCTACAGTCTGCCAACATCTGGTCTAGATAATCAACAAAAAAATAAATCCAGCCCTGATTTGTAGTTTGACAACTTATGTGATGTAAATCCTCCCATCATGGCTCCTTTCAAGCTACCAACGTTAACATTACTGAACACTTAGTTGGGAAGAAATGTGCAGTAGAACACTATTATATTGTATTTCCACCATACAGATACAAGGGGTATAAATAACCTCAAAAGCACAGATAGTAGTAAAATGGAAAAATAAGTAGTAAATGATGAAGTTTGAGTACTTATTACCTTTGTTCTATCACAACTTAATTGTGTTATATAACTTAACTGTTAATATGGCTGTTTTAACAAGTGACTCACAAAATTCCTGAAAATTTAACAATTGGTTTTTGCAAGCCTTTACTGGCTGGCTCCAGCACACCACTGTGCCTCTATTTCATAAAATTCAAATCTCATTTGGTCACTCCTTTATTTTAAACACTTTATGGCACTCCACAGATCTTGAGATAATGACTCAGGTCCTTATACTGGTGTCCTAGATTCTGTATGATTTCGTTCCCTATTCACTGCTCTATCCTCATATCTTACCAGTATTACTCATGATACTTACCTCTGGCTACAATGAACTTCTTTTAGTTCAAGCAATCTCTTGTTCCTCTCATTTTTACTCTTCACATATGCTATTCCCTCTATCCAGTGAACTCTATTTATTGTCTTTCCTTAACTCCTATATAGCTTTAATGTCTTAGCTTAATCATTCCTCAGTTAGCCTTCCTTGAACCATTACCCTAATGCTAAACTCCCATTAGAGTGTCCTATAGACCTCCTCAATCATAGCACTACTCATATTGCATTGTGCTTGTTTGTATACTTGTCTAAATCCTTTACTAAGAGAAATCCCCTTGAGGCCAGTGATGTCTCCAACAGTCAGCACTAACTTTCAACCTTGTGAGAGAGCCACAATAATATCCTTTATTAAAGGATAAAGCACCTTATCCTTTAACTCCAGTTAAGCCTTCAGATGACTGCAGCCTCATAAGAGACTCTAAACCAGAACCACTTGGCTAAGCTGCTCTTGAATTTCTGACCCACAAAAACTCTAGGATACTGGTGCTTATTGCTATTTTAAGCTACTAAGTTTTAGAGGTAATTTTAAAAATAGTAAGATAACATACATTTATAGTCTACTAATTTTAGTTAACTGTATAAAAATTATATTAATAAAATAAAATTATTTATACAAATTATATATAAGTTGAATTATATAAATTCATACCTACAAATGTATATATTACAAATTATACAAAATTATGTTAATCAAGTAAAAAAAACCCAAATTCCCCCTAATTTTCCCCCTCTTCAATCTAATCACCAAATCTTGGTTCTGTACAAAAACAGATAGTGAATTTATCTACTTCTCTTTATTTAAATGCCAATACCTGAGCCCAAGCTAGTACCTCTATCTTGTACTACTTCCTGATGATCTCGTAACAAATCTCTCTCCAACCCCACCTCAAACCTATCTCCATACACAGTGGTGTGTGTGTTCTTTTAAAAAATAATTATATTAATTGCTACGAGCAATATCCCCTAACAAAAGCTAAAATTAGTTGCTGGAACTTTAAGGATATTTGCATGGCCTCAAAATAGTTCCCCCCAAATATTTATTAATTACTGTGGTGATTTTAATATATGTCCACAAGTTCTTTGATACTTAACACTCCTTAACACCCTGCCTGCTATGGCCTGGACTTAGTAACTTGCTTTAATGAACAGAGTTTGAGAGGAAAAAAGTTCTGTAGTGGAAAAAGTTGGCAGACACCAACTTAAATGATCAAGGTTAACAGCACTAACCATAAGACGTATGGTTACAATATGTCTTCTTACATCATGTGCTGAGAAGGACACTTCAACTCTGTATTCTTTCCTAAAATACATTATCTCAGTCTAGTCATGAGAAAACATACAATCCCAAACTGAGGGATAGTCTACAAAGTATCTGCCCAGTATTCTTCAATAATCAAGGTAAGAAAAGATAAGAAAACATTAAGAAACTTGTCCCATATTGGAGGAGACAGAGACATAATGGGGAGATCTGAATAAAGTCTGCAGTTTAGCAATAACATTGTATCATCATTCATTTCTTAGTACTGATAAATGTATCATGGTTATGTAAGATGTTAACATTAGGAAAAGCTGATGATGTAATGTATGGTGATTAACATAACAATAAAAAATAAAAAAGTAAAAAAATCCATTAAAAAAATTCAAAATTAAAAGAAAAAAAAACTGAAGCAAATATAGCAAAACAGAAAAAAAGTCATAGTTGATTTCCTGTTTAAAACCTTTCAATAGCCTCCCATAGCACTTAAGAGTAAAACCCAAACTCATTAGTATGGGCCCTAAAATTTTGTATGGTAAGAAGTGGAGTCCCAACCTACTTCCCTGGTTTTATTTCATTAGCTTTTTACTTTATACAAGACTCAGCAACCAACTTCTTTCCTGCTTTTGTATCTTGAACTCTGCCCTTTTCACACCGGGATCTTCCCCCGGCTCTTCATATGGCTGCTTCTTTCCTATTCTTCACATCTCAGCTTTGATAGCACCTCCTGGCACTCCATCTTAATCACCACTTCCCCTCACCTCTCACTTTATAGTACATCATTAGTAACAATCTTATGTAATTTTTACTTATTGCCTCACTAAACCCAGTGCTCACCTTCTTCACTACTGCATCCCCAGAGCCTACAAGACTGACAAATAAAAGCTGCCCAAATATCTGACGAATATGTAAAAAGATACCATCATTCTTTGAAGTCTCATAATCTCACCTCCTCCCATCCCTATTTGAGAATCACTGTCCTAAAATATGCAAGTTACATCTATTTAAAATGAAAAGGTTTGACTATACACTTTGTAAGTAACACAATGGAGAAACAGATACTATCATGTCCTCTTGGTCAGAGTACAGAATGGTATAACCCTAAGGAGTGTCATCTGACAAAACTGTATAAAGTACAAATGCGTTTACCCGTTTCAAACAATCTAAGAGAATGTGCAGATATACCTCTACAGGAATGTAGATATAACTCTATATGTCTGAAATTATATATGTACAAGGTTATTCACTATACTGTGGCAGCAAAACACTGGGAACTATCCATGTGCCCATCAACAAGGATCTAGTTTGGTATACTACAGTACATCCATGCAATGGAAAACAATGTACCTTAGAAACTAATGAGAAGACTCTTGAAGCACTGATACTGAAAGCTCTACAAAACATGATGACATAAAAGAAAACCACCATAGTGACAAAAAAAGCAAAGAGAAGAACATACAATATGTTAACTTCTATGTAAGAAAGTGAAAAGAAAAATTATGTACTTTTACTTGCTTGTATTTGCCTAAAAGAAACTCTGAAAGAGGGGCAGCTGGGTGGCTCAGTCGGTTAAGCGTCTGCCTTCATCTCAGGTCATGATCTCAGGGTCCTGGGATCGAGTCCTGCATCAGGTTCCCTGCTCAGTAGGAAGTCTGTTTCCCTCTCTCCCCCTGCCCCTCCACCCCCTCATGCTCTCTCTCACTCACACTCTCGCAAATAAATAAAATCTTAAAAAAAAAAAAAATTCTGAAAGGACATATCAGAAAATAATAAAAGCAGTTACTTAGCAAAAAATAAAAGAAGGGGTATGTGGTAGAGTCAGGAAGAGAATGAGATAAAAGGGGAAAGAGTGTGAACAATGCTTTCATTTATACTCAGTTAAAAAATCAAAGCATGAAAAAATGCATATGTATTAAGCTATTAAAGTTTATATTATATATAAGCACCAGGTTAATTTTCTTCCTGTTTCTTTCCTGTCATTACTCCATAGATGCACAATGTTATAATCATAGTCAAATACTCTGACTTTCCTCACTTAAAATTACTTATCATACAATTTTACAAGTTTATATATGAATTAATATACCTTTTCTCATGGATATATATATCTATATTGGTATCTTTCTCTATATATGTAGAACTAGATAATAGAATACCTTTTATAATCTTCAAATTTAGATTTATGTAGGAAATCCCACAATCTCATTACTAAAATCTTGGGGGCTAGGTATGTCATAGAATTTACGATTTTTTAGATTTTAGAAAAATAATAAGGTACATAAACCATACATTAGTATTATCCAGTGGCTGCATCCATAATGAAGTACTATGCTCAGTGCTAGACACAATGAAACTGTAAAGTATAAATATTCACACCAAGCAGTATAAAATGAAAATTATAAATGGCCATCCCAATGAATGTGTGAAATTTATGAGAAAACATTTGGGTTTCAGAGTGTTTTGAATTTTCATATTGGAGATCACAGACTTATACTATTTTTATCTTTAAGTGGGAACATACAAATTCAGTTGTAGAGGGAAAATAACAATATTAAAAACAGTATCCTGATATATTACATAAATGAAAAGTAAAATGAAATTTAATAATTATTTATCAACAAATTACAAGCTATAATCATATAAAACTAAATGAGGGACGCCTGGGTGACTCAGTGGATTAAGTGTCTGCCTTCAGCTCAGGTTCATGATCCTGGGGTCCTGAGATTGAGCCCACCCAGAGTCCAGCTCCTGGCTCAGCGGAGAGTCTGCGTCTTCCTCTTCCTCTGCCCTTCCACCCAACTTGTGCACATACCCGCATGTGCGCTCTCTTGCTCTCAAATAAATAAAGTCTTAAAAAAAAAAAACTAAATGAAAATGAATCCAACTTCTATAATTGAAGGCCTAGCTTCCTTGAAAAAGTCAGGGTTTGTTCCTGAACTGTTCCAGCATAACACGATAAAATATATACACTTAATTACAATGTACTAGGTGCTATGGTAACAACACACTGGTCATTCTCAAAATCTACAAAAGGTATTACAAAACATTGAATAAATCAATATACAGGGTAAACATACAAGCAGATATCAGAATTAGCATCTGTAACAAATTTCACAGTATTATTACTGAACACTTAAAAATTAAATAAAATCTCATATTGGTTCTTAAAATTTTCTAAAATTCTGAGTCTGAGCCTATTACTTAAATTAAAAAATATATATATATATTTTCATCAGCAAATCCCAAAAATTATTTCCAACGAACACCTTACATTGCTTAAAAGGTGCCAAGGCATTTGAGGAACAATATTAAATCCAGTAACAGTGTTATCAACCTATGTTTAAGGAAAACTTACACCAATAATGAAAAAAGATTAAGTTTAGCTCTTTATTAAAAATAAGGCAGCACAGACAATACGGCATCATAAAATTTAATCACATATTATAAAGACAAATCAAAATGATATAACCTCATGTCACATCATTTTATTTTATTTTTAAATTGGTCTACTCATATCCTTGTAGAGGGACTAATTTTAAGTTAGTACAAATTTCAGTACTGCCTACAGATTTCTGTCAGTGTAAACTGCAACAGCCATGCATATTTATTAGGATGTAATTTCATCTCTGGATTTCAGTGACACTGATAAACCACTCAAGCTTCACTCTTGGTTTTTAATGACACCAGAACAAGTTGATGGAATTACAGCTTCATATGTACCATTGAAAGTCTTTTTCTTATCACAGAATAATAAGGCTGGACTCTTTAAAGGGCATCATTCCTGCTATCTCACCATGGAAAGATGGATGCCTAGTTTATTTTTAAAATCCCATAACTTGTCCTCAGTAATCTATTCTAATGCTCAGACCACAGTCATCTCTTTAGTTATTTCTCTCTCTTTCTCTCACACTCACTCTCTCTCCTTCTACCCCCCTCCTCATCCACCCCACTCTTCATCCCCTCACTCTCTCACTACTGTTGTACTGTAAATTGATTTCAGGAAAACATTTACTTGCATTCAAATACTTTTTGATGCTTTATAAATCCAAACACTTCACACACAAAAAATGGAAAAACCAATTAAAATAATGGGAAATGTACACAATTTTCCCAATCCATGGGCAAACACACTTCTTTTGCTCTCTACCCAGAAAACATATATCAATATTGAGTGCCTACCGATACCATACCGATCAAAGCAGAGTTGCCCTAACCTCTCTAAATTACCATTTTTTTGGTTCTGATTTTAAAAGCTTTGGTTTTAAAGGGCTACAAGTCAAAAGAAAAATTATAAAGAGATATCAATTTTCAACCACTTGATTATCTTAATTTCCTAAACTGGCATTTAACCAATGGGTGAAAATAAGGTTTCCTGCCTGAAATCCACCTCACAGCAAGATGAGCTAACCCTGTCTGAAAGCAACCACCAAACCAAGTTCAGGAAAAGTGGGAAATAAAACTACCTCTTTTTGGTTTTATTTGGTTTTAAAATAATGAAGAGACAAAACAAAAAGGCATTATTATATTGACAAAAACATTAGGTAGCTGATATATTTACCTTGCATTCAATCTCTGCTTGTTTGCGCTTTGCTTCACTTAATTGAGTAAGTAGTCCTTTGTTCTGTGCCGAAAGATATTGCACCTTCTCGTGTAGACTAATCACCTCTTGTTCTGCTCTTCGAAGATGGTTACTATTGATCTGATTCTAATAATTAAAAATATAAATACTCAGACATTAAAGATCCCAAAAAACCTACAAATTTCTACCTCCCCATTTTATACCTCAATAACATTATATAAAATGCTATTATTAGTTACAGGTGGATTTTATTTAACAAGTAGTTAAATGTTAAAAAAAAATTTATAAACGTGCTTTAAAAAAATCGAGTCATCCAAAAGAATACTTAGGTCCATATTAGAAACTCTTCCTAATTTTCTCTGTTTATACAATAAATATCTACAAACTTTAAGAATGTTTACACAGACCTTGAAGGTATTAACTTCTGAAACAGGCAGTGTTACACAAATGAGTAGATACAGAAATATGATGACTTTAACTCCTCTTTCCCATTCCCAAAAGAAAGCACAGACTGCCTGAAAAGTTCTATCATCATTTACTGGACTGTAAAATCCTTGATGTCATGAAATGTGTCATATGCACTTCCATATTCTTCCAATATACAGCACAGTCTTTTTATGGAACATGAACTGGTTGTGAATTCTGACTTGTTATTTGGTGATTAAGCAAACTAGTTATAATATTTCTATTTCATCATTTGAAAAATGCACACAAAAATACTCCTTATTTCTCATTCGGTTCTCTTCAGTATTAAATGAGAGATTACATGGAACAGGGCTTAACCTATAGAAAGAACTCAATAAACGGTGGTGCTTAATGTATTACAACTATAGAACATGTTAAAAAATATATATACACCTTAAATTGATTGACATGAGGTAGTTTCCCCATGTCTGATTTCTCTTAACCCCAAAATATTCCATTTGGGGTCTGAAAGAAACAGTAGGGATTTTAGAACCAAAGACAGGAAAGTCTGGCTCCTCATTTTACAGTTCTTCACCCTTGCTAAACTCATCTAATCCCATCAAATTCCAGCACACGGGTACAAGCATAGATATTACCATCCGACTTTAAAGGCTGTGCTGTAAGAATCGTATGACAAAAGAAAATCATATGAGTAAGAATCATTTGAGAAAAAAAAGCTCACGTAATGTCTGAAATTAAACAGATACTTAATAAACCCTTGGTTGTTACTGTTATTTCATCTATTCGACCTCACTCAATACAAATGACCCTGCCCTCCAGCTTTATTTAAAAATCTGCATCGTGTAATAGATTTAAGCTCCAAAACTTTCTACCATTTCTGAGTTTCTTCATTTTTACTTTTACTCCTCTTCCTGACTCACTATCTGTCTACAAAATAGTAAACTTCTTAGTACTCAAGTACTTAGTACTTAGATTCAAAATGTTCCACAACCTCTTTTTACTGTCTTCCCTCCTACCACCGAACAAATAACTACACTTCAGAGGGACATACCTTCAACATAAGCTGCAAAGAATTCTCACAGACAGAAATCCTCCCTCCACCCCTCAATACAAGTCCATGATCCAAAATTATAAAACTCCACACATAAGCAAAATCGAAAATTGATGAGTAAGAAATTGTAGACAAAAGGACAACAAGAACAGATTTTTTAAAAACTCTAGATAGTAATCATGTGAGGACTTTATATAAAATAATTTATTTAAAATTATTAGACATAAAAAGAGGAAGCAGGGCGCCTGGGTGGCTCAGTTGGTTGAGCGACTGCCTTCAGCTCAGGTCATGATCCCAGGGTCCTAGGATCGAGTCCCGCATCGGGCTCCCTGCTTGGCGGGAGGCCTGCTTCTCCCTCTCCCACTCCCCCTGCTTGTGTTCCCTCTCTCGCTGTGTCTCTCTGTCAAATAAATAAATAAAAATCTTTAAAAAGAAAAAAAAAAAAAAGAGGAAGCAAAACATAAGCAAAGAACAAGTAACTATCAAAAAACATTTAGCAAATTTGGGGGCGCCTGGGTAGTTCAGTTGGTTAAGCATCCAATTCCTGATTTCGGCTCATCTCATGAGCTCAGGGTCGTGGGATGAAGCCCAGTGCCTGGCTCAGCGCAGAGGCTGCTTGTCCCTCTCCTTCTGCTCCTCCCTCAATTCATATATGTGCTCTCCCTCTCTCTCTCTCAAATAAATAACTGAATAATCTTTTTTTTAAAAAAAACACATTTAGCAAATTTGAAAAATAACCAAATACAACTTCTTGAAGTTAATATAGCCAATAATGTTAAAAATTAATTAAAGGGTTAAACAGGAGATTAGCTACACTGAAGAAATAGTGTTCCAGAAGGGCGCCTGAGTGGCTTAGTCATTAGGCGTCTGCCCTCAGTTCAGGTCATGATCTCAGGGTCCTGGGATCAAGCCCCACGTTGGGCTCCCTGCTCAGCGGGGACGACTGCTTCTCCCTCTCCCACTCCTCCTGCTTGTTTTCCCTCTCTCACTGTGTTTCTCTATGTCAAATAAATAAAGAAAAGAAAAGAAAAGAAAAGAAAAGAAAAGAAAAGAAAAGAAAAGAAAAGAAAAGAAAAGAAAGAAATAGTGTTCCAGAAGAGGTCAAGAGACATAGAAGAGACTTAGGAGGTACAAAATACACCTAATGGGGGTTGCAATATAAAACAGAAAACAAAGAAAAAAGTGAGATATGATAGTCTAAGAGATAACAATACTTGAGAATTTTTACAACTGTAAAAAATATATATATGAATCCAAATTTCAGGAAACACAACTAGTTCTAGACAGGATAAATACAAATAAACCCTCGCTAAGATACATTTTAAGAAAACAGAATGCTGGGGCGCCTGGGTGGCTCAGTTGGTTGGGCGACTGCCTTCGGCTCAGGTCATGATCCTGGAGTCCCTGGATCGAGTCCCGCATCGGGCTCCCTGCTCAGCGGGAAGTCTGCTTCTCCCTCTGACCCTCCCCCTCTCATGCTCTCTCTATCTCATTCTCTCCCTCAAATAAATAAATAAAATCTTAAAAAAAAAAAAGAAAACAGAATGCTAACGAAAAGAAGAGACAAATCAAGGGCAAAACCAGGTCTCTGTTAAGGGGGAAAGTGAAATACGCAGCAGACATCTCAACAGGAAAACTTTGTAGTGCTTAAAAAAATAAATTTCGGGGCGCCTGAGTGGCTCAGTCATTAAGCGTCTGCCTTTGGCTCAGGACATGGTCCCAGGGTCCTGGGATCAAGCCCCGCATCGGGCTCCCTACTCCGTGGGAAGCCTGCTTCTCCTCTCCCACTCCCCCTGCTTGTGTTCCTGCTCTCGCTATCTCTCTCTCTGTCAAATAAATAAATAAAATCTTTAAATAAATAAATAAATAAATAAATAAATAAATAAATAAATAAATAAATTTCATCCTACAATCGTATATTCAGCTAAACTATCATATAACAGTGAGAAAAAGTACATTTACCTTTAAGAAAGTGAGAGTTTACTACTCATGACTGAAATCAGAAACTGTTAAATAACAGTAACAGAGAGCAAAAAGTGTGCAAATAGACAAATCCAAATAAGCACTGACTCCATAAAAAAAAATAATGTCTAGTAATTTGGAGATATAAAAAAGATGTACAATAATAGTAAGATATAAGATTGGAAGATGGAAGAAGAGCACATGAAGATCTTCCAAGGCCCTTATACAGTTTAGAAGGAAGATGGAGATAATTATCAACATCAAACTTTGTTCAGTCAGATGAGCATTTTTAATTTTTTTCAGGTAATAAACACTAATAGAAAAGGAATTATAAAAGTCAAACCAGTAGCAGAAAGAGAAACATCTAAATTAATCCAATAAAAAAGCAAGAAAGGAGGGGAAAAAATAGAAAAAGGGAGGAAATAAATTGAAAAAAGAAAATAATTTTAAGTATATCATAATAAAGAGTTTTGATTCCTGATGGGGTTGTAGAATAGAAAGAGCATTACTCTCACTCTTTCAATTAAAAAAAAAAAAAAAGCCAGCCAAACTCTTAAATTCACGACTTTTGTTGAAACCAGACAGGTGAGGTGACAAGGCAACCAACTATCCCCAAATCTAAGGACAGACAGGGCAGATGAAGCCAGAAGCTGTTAAGAATAATTCAGCCAGGGGAGGGGGGTGGGGGGATGGGTTAGCCTGGTGATGGGTATTAAAGAGGGTACGTATTGGGGGAAAAAAAAAAAAAGAATAATTCAGCCAGAATATTATCAAATTGGTTGCGGCCAAGTGTTGGCTGACAAGAGAGTGTGGAGCCTAAGGGGAACAGCAGAGTTCGCAAGCTCTTACATACTTTTTCTTCATGGACCCCAAGAGGTACACACAAAAAAGACTGATGAGAGTCTTGAGAAAGAGATCTCCACAGCACAGGCTTGAGGAAAGAGAAGAGCAGGCAATACAGAAGGAGCACTAAACCTTGCTTGTCTCCTCTAGGGAATAAAAGGTTTCATAGGCTTCCCAGGCCAAGAAACATTGTTGCCCCTGGAGCACTGGGGAAATCACTACATCTGAGGAAGGGACAGGACTATATTGTGGGCCTAGGACTACAGCTGGTGGTGGGGCAGGAGCACTAAGAAAGTCAAACACTCCAGATCCAGGGACACAATGCAGCCTAAGACTGAGGGTTTATCAGAAAAATGGGGAAGACTTCTGCCCCTCCAACTTCCTGTAACAAGTAACAGTGGAACACTCTGGAGACTGACTCTCTCTGAAGTGCTGTGTAAATGGAAGACCTAAAGATGCTGAGAAAACCTGTTGGCAAACCAGCCCCCAATCTAAAAATAAGATAGTGCTAGAGGAATTTGAAGCCTGTGGTGCAATGAGGGTAACCACAGAAACAACAAACCTCAAACCCAGCCCAACTCCTGACTATATTAACTCAAATACCCCACATTAAAGGCCTCGCAGAGGAAAAGGTATGCCCATTTCCAGGCATAAAAACTACTTACCTTAGTCTACTGTCCTACTCAAGATATTCAGTTTTCAACAAAAAATTACAAAGCAGAGGAACAGGTAAGAAAAAACAAAATATTACCTAGAGACAAAGCAATCAACAGAATCAGCCTCACATATGACACAGATATTAAAATTACCTGAAGGGAATTTACAATAACTGTGATTAATATGC